TCTACACGGTGTTCCCCACAACTGCAGCCCTGCAGACTTGTCAGCACCTATAAGTGCTTGCTCAACTCTCTTCCCTGGAAAGGGATAGTATCCCTCTGCCCCAAAACCCAACCTCACCTCCCAGCAGCTGCATTAGCTGGTCCCAAGTTTCAAAAATAAGTAAATAAATAATTTAAAAGGTCCAAAACTGGCGAGGGAAGTGGTAGGGAGATTAAACCCAGCAGCTGGATGTAAGCCCAGTGTAGACATAACCCAGACTTCAGAAGAGGAGCTTGGTATCATTTTGATCAATGAAGAGCAGCAGAGATGGCAGAGAGGCCCTTCCCTCACACTCCACTCTCTGAACCTCCACAAGAACTTACTGCTGCTCTTCCAGTGTGTGCTGGAAACAACAAACACCTGCACACTTGGAATCTGCACAACCCTTTGGAGGACAGGCATTTAGCAAGCACAAGCACCTCGACTCCCAGGCACAGAGAAAGGCAGAGAAAGCAGAGATACACTGTTCTTAAAACTCTGAGGACATGACACTGTCACCAGCCAACCCAGATGAGAAGGAAGAACAGTGTGAGAGGCTGCAGATGGGTAAAATCCCAAACCAGCGAGATGGATTTCTCCACCCAGTTAAGAATCCCGAGTTACAAACAGGGCAGCTCTTCCCAGAATCCAGGATCCCCTGGGACCTGAGGAAACCCAAGTGCCTCAGGGGTAATTTCAGTAATAAATCTGTGGTGCTGCAGAGCAGGCCCAGCACACACAACTTTGCTCCAAGATTAAGAGATCCCTGTAACACCTGAGGGTCCCCAGTGGCCCTGGAGCAGCGAGATAGGACCAACACACATCACCCACACACAAATATCTCCATCACTCCCCACTGACAGTGGCTCCAAAGCCAATCAATAGGGCAATTAGATTTTATCAGCACACACCTCTGGCCACCAACTTCTGCTGTCCTTGCAAAAGGCTCAGCCAGCCCAGGGCTCCAGGTTGTCACTGAGAACAACCACCTGGAGCAGGTTTTTGCCTTTTTTGGTAGAATTTTGCACTGGCATTCCTGATTTCCTTTAAAGGTGCAGCAGCCATCAGGGGACTTCAAACATGAGTTAGGCTGTCAGCTGTTCTTAGCTAGACATCTTCCTTCAGTGCAGAGAGCAGCAGCAGGGGAACACCACCCTCAGATCAGCTCTGTGCTGACTCTCTAAAACCCACATCTATTCCATATTGTCACTGTGGAACAACATGGAGGTTTAGCAGAGATGTTAGGGAGGACAAAGCAGGGAACTGAGCTCTGTCGTTCATTTGCTTTATGATCTTGAGGAATTTGCCCTTCTTTGTCTTGCCTGACTCATCTCCTACAAAGTACTCGAAAACCGGTGCAAGGAATTATGTATCCTGTCCAACATTTCTGATAAAATTTTACCTGCTGGCAACATAACTACCTCCCTTTCCCCTTTATCACTGTAGAACAGTAGTAACAGTCCTTCCATTTTTTTCCATGATAAATTTATTTTCAAAGCTCTGTAGCTCTCAGATTTCTGGAGATGCCACACTTACCAACGTGTCACAATCACCACACTGGCCTTAATCACACCCTCAGCAATGCAAGAAACAGCAGAGCCATTTGGTGTTGATTATTCCAGACCCTTTATAGCTCTTTGGGAATCACCAGATCCAAAATACAGTGATGTTTTTGGTCCCAGCTGTCCCAAACCCCAAGGCTGCACCTCCTCCAGGTTTATTGTTCCAAACCCACCTCTGTGTGTTATTGCACAACCCAAGTGGGTTATTAAATCCTGCTCCAGGCAGGGCCAAACCCTATCTGAGTCTTTCAGGACACAGTTATTTATTTTCCAAGTCTTTCAGCTTCTGCTGTCCCAAATTAATCTCTTCAGTCTCTCTGTTCCCAAATATAACCATCACCATTGACATAAAGTGACCTGTTTTCACTTAAAAGTTATCCATAAGCCTTCCAAGGATATTAATCAGTGCTGCTCTTCCAACCAAAGTTCTTATATGCTCCAGTCAGTCTTTTCAGCCCCCTGTGACCTGAACATCAGCCCAGTTCTAACCTTGAACCCCAGCTCTAGCCTTTCCTATCTCCCAGAAGTCATAAAAGCCCAAGAACTAACTATACACAATTATTTTTCATTAATTTCAGCCCCTTTCTGCATTTCAAAGACCATTAAAGATCCAGTAATACTTCTAATTTTCTAGTCCATGCTGTTCAAAACCATTGCACTGCCTCTAATCCCGGTTCTAACTATAAATCAGGGAATTCCCTCATGGAATTAACCACACATCAGCCAAATCCTGCCAGCTTCAACCCTCCTGCTACCCTCACGGGCCCTGCAAAAAGCAAATCTCTTCCATTTGTGCTGTCCTTGTTCTCAATCCTCTGCTTAACCTGGGCCAAGAAGGAGCAGAGGCTGGTGAGTCCTGTTCCAGCAGCACACCTCTCACAAGGGGGATGTGCAGCTGGAACAGCAGAGCCTCTGGAATCTCCACCTCTCCTGACTGGCACCATGTGCCCAACTCCAAACCCATAAACCAGCAACAGAAACTGTTTCAGCAGCAGATCCCAAGTGCCTCCGAGAGCTCTGCAGCTCACGGACAGGAGTGAGGCAGGAACATGACGGCATTAACACCATTTATTCAGCATTGGATATCTCCAGATGCCTTTTGGAGGGGGAAGGTTCTCATAACCCAGATACACAGCATTGTTCTCGAGGGCACACAGTGCAAACACAGCAGACAACTGGGGGCAAGGTTCTTCTCCCATTATTGTTGTAACTAAGTGGTTTAAACAACAACCAGCCTTTCAGACTAACCCAGCACTGGCTCTCTTCGCATTCTATATGTGGCAATTGGTGGTTTTTTCCTCTGCCAGCAAAAACTAACAGAACCAAGACACAAATCCAACAATGGGGCATCAGCTCCAAATCCCAGTACCTTCTGTTCCTGCTCCCCTGGCCTGTGTGTGCCTGGGAGGTGACACAGGGACCAGCTCAGCACATGCTCTGCCCTCAGAGCCGGCAGCTCCTGCAGAGACTTTGGCAAAATGAGCCCTCCCTTAATCAAACCAGCATGGAGAGAGAGCTGGCTCCAGAGAGAGGGGGGAATTCAGAGTTAAACTGTCCCTGGGGACATGTGACAATATCCCCACCACCCCCCCATCTCGCTCTTTTGCAGATCAGCTCTTGTCTGACACACCAGATCTGTCACGTCCTGAAGAGCTTTGTCACTCGCTTGGTGGCCTCTTGTGTGGATGAGCCTCTTCTCTTTCACTGCTCCAACATTCCTTGAGTATTTCACAGAATCATTAAGGTTGGAAAAGCCCTCTAAGATCACCAGGCCCAGCCATCAACCCACCACCACCGTGTTTCATCACTAAACCACGTCCCCAGGTGCCACATCCACACTTTTTTTGAACATGTCCAGGGATGGTGACTCCACCCCTGCCCTGGGCAGCCTGTTCCAACGCTTTACAACGCTTCCCATGACGAAATTTTTCCTAATATCAAATCTAAACCTCCCCTGGCACAGCTTGAGGCCACTTCTTACTGCTTCTTAAAGTTAAAAAACTAACCAGAGAACCTCCAACATCAACTCTCTTAACCTATAAGAATGAGGGCTTCTACATCTCATCTTTTCCACGGCCCAGCACTGATGGGAATGAGAAGAACCCTTCTGCATTTCAGGAATGCCATGGACCTCAAAGAATCCCAGCAACACTGATCAAGCCCAGCAGTTTCTCTGTAAAGCAAAGAATATTAAAAACCATTTTGACACACAGACATATAAGCTCAAGCAAGGTCATACAGAAAAATGGATCTCTGGCCAGTATGGTGCTCTTGGAGCTGTGTAGGAAAAGGGGATGTTAAGGAAATCTGTTATTGGTGAGAATATGAAGATTAAGATGTGAGAGCAAAGACTGGGAGCTGCCCATGGCTGCTCTACAGACATATCACAAATCCCCCAGCTCAGCACGACACACCCATGGCACTGAACACTTCACTTAAGTAGTCACACCAGTACAAAGTCCACTGCAGGCAGAAGGAACCTGTCAGGAAAGGGTTAAACCTCAGGGAAAAAGCCAACCAGGTACCTGTCATGTTCCTGAGCACCCTCCAAAGACATTCCCAAAGGGTGTTAGATGTGGTGTTCCCTTCGGATTTGGGGTTAATTTACACAGTCAACAGAATGGCTAACAAAAAAAAAATGTGAACAAATCCACAGACAGACAGGTTTTCAGGAAAGGCCTGTATTAACACACATAGAGATCCAGCCCTGATTTGGAAGGGCAGGGATCAGTCAACATAAAAAACTAACATAAATCACAGGTTTCCCCTCAAAGTTTATTTATAATCAACGGCAAATCACAGATCCTGCAATCAACAGATCTCCAGTTTATTACAGAGCCTCACTTAGTGACTGATGAACAGCTGTCACCAGAGCATCCTTGCCCACACTCCCTCACTGACATCCAGACAGGCACAGGGCAGGATCCAAGAGGAGCATTTCTGGTGCCACCACGTTAACCTGAAACCAGGTGAACTACCCAAAAAAAACCAGGCAGCACCACAAAACCAAACAACCACACTCCCAAAGGAGTTGGCAGGCACAGCAGCAGCACGGGGAACCTCTGATTAATGAAATTACAAATCAAATCATGCTCTCTGCAAGGCCTTTCTGCTTCACTTGGCACCAACCCTGGGGACATTTCACTCCTCTGCTGGCGCAAGCTCCTTTGCCAGTACTCTAACACAGAGCACTAGATCTGGGAATAACACACGGGGCTGGGATCTCAGAAGGACTTCACCATCACCATGAAATCCTTTCCACGTTAATCTTTAGCCAGAATATTAAAAAACCCCTTCCTAGAGCTCACAGAGTTGTAACACAAAGAAACCAGCTGCCGAAAAACGAACGGACGAGGCAGCCAAAGGGAGAGGAGGGGAGTCAACGAACCCAGAGCAGCAGGACCTGCTCCAGCTCCTTACCTGCTGCTCCCAGGCCAACCTCGATGCTGTTTCTCTTGAATTCACAGCGGCTCTGGGTCTCTGGCATAACGAGCTGGCGGCTCTGGTGCAGGTTGGAGATGATAGTGGAGAGGTCGTTATCGCGGCTGCAACAGAGCAGAAAAGCACCAAGTTAAGGAAATCCTATTTGCCACCACATAATTGATTTCTGTGTGTGTGAGCATCTGTGTGTGTGTGTGTGTGCACATGCAGGAGCCTTTTGTCTGCCCCTGACACGGCTGTATTCCAAGGAAGGTTGTTCCCCCCCTCCCACCCATCAGTAACCTCCTTGGTAACCTCCTCCGGTTTTGGGGAGAGAAGTGCAAAAAGTCCTTCCCAGCCAGCACTCTCATTTCCCATAAAGGACTCTGCAGCTGCCAGAGCTCCTGATTTCAGTTTTGCCAGATATAACTTGCGTGGGCCAGGACTTACATCTAGGATGGAAAAACTGAAAGTGCAGGAATTGGCAGGTCTGTTCCAGAATTAATAGGAAACTTGAACTGAAATAACTGATAGTTTTCTATCAGTTGCCACCCTTCTATTCTCAAAAAAAACCAAGTTTTTCCATTCCATCACTCTTGGAACAAAAGACTGCTTGATTTGATTGAATAATAGTTTTTCTCTTTAGAGAGAAACCCACCACGAGCCCGGACATCAGCATTACTCAGAGCTGAGGGTACAGATTTATTTACTAAACTAATTTTCAACTCTTCCCTCTAACAGATCCTGAAACAATGCTCTTCCTTCTGGGAAAAGAGAATGTTTTAGAGCAATTCAGCATTATTTTGCCTGTTATCCTCACATCAGATTGCTGCTAAGTAGGCTAGTTTAGTCTTTTTTTTTTTTTCTATTTCTTTTCCTTCTATGGAGAGGGAGAACACAAAAAGCATTCACTGTAGCAGATAGTGCATTTCAGTGGCAAATGCTTCTGCTTGCAAACCACTATCCACTTGCAAAATATTTCTGCATAAATGATATACAAACAGTGAGGAGGAAGAACAAGGTAAAACACCACACTAACTGGCAATGCTGGAATGTCTCCCTTTTGTTTGTTTGCAGCGTTATGTCAAACCCCCCCTTCCTTCCAGCACAAGGTGCTTGCCCCGAGCTAAACGTGGTTATTTTTCTTCCTCCCCTCCCTTTAAATGGAAGATGACAGCCAGAAGAACCAGAGACACAAAAACCCCCATACATATTAGCAGTATTGCCCCCCCCTCCCACAGCCACAGCTCCCTCCCAGCCTCTACTCACATGCCAAGTGCACCCACTCTGTGCTGCTGTGACACACAGCACATGACACCAACGCACTGGTGGCAGAGAGTGTCCTCACCTGGGACCAGCAGGGCAGCAGGGAGGGTGCATTATCTGCAGAATTACCTAGCAATGATCTTCCTTTAAATATCCCCCTCTTATCTCCCCCCCCTCCACCTCCTCCCCACCTGCTGCGCCCCCACCTCCGGGCTGCTCCCAGCGCCAGGAGCGGATGTGCTCCGGCGCTCCCGGGAGAGCCCATCCCTGCTGCTGGAGAGCAGGGGCTAATCTGTCGTCTAGCTCCCCTGCTAATCAGATAAGTTTATGACAGAAAGTCTTTAGACAGAGGTACTTTCAGCGGGCGTCTGGCTCCAGATTTTCACAGGATGCCGCAGACAAAAACAGCCCCGCCGCGCTCGCTCCTCCGGCAGCCGCTGCCACATTCCCGCTGCTCCCCCCGCCCGCCCCCGGGCTCAGCTGGGAGAAGGGATGCTCAGATCCCAAAGCCTTTGAGCACCCATTGCATCTTCCTCCGCTAAACCAGTTCAGATTCCTCCTTATGCAAGCAGAAGGCTAATTACTTAAGCAAGCCCACAGGTGAGTGGGAAGCCCATTTCTCCTGTGCCAAGCAGTTTTGGGTCTTATCCTCTTTTAGCTGCCACCTTTTAAGATGCATTATGCAAATATTTTGGTGTCTTAAGTCATTTATGGGATTAATGTGAGGTGATTATCAGTTCTTTTTAATCATGCCAATCAATAACTGGATGTCAGGGACAGAGGACAAATGCAGATAAACGCTGCCATCAGCACAACGCCGGGGAAAGGGCGGAGGAGAGGAGCCCGGAGTGCAGGGGGAGAGAGGCAGGGAGTAGGAAGAGAAAAATAGGATAATTACATCTTCGCATTTGCAGAGTGTCTTGCATCCCAATCGAGCCCACGGCACTGTAAACACGTTTAGCTACGAGGAGGAATTGTTTTACCCACCACTAAAACTCAACTTCCCCGGAGAAGAGCACGGCACAGCTCCTTAACTGGGTTCTCCAAAACTCAAAGAGTGCAGAAAGCTGTGATATATCCAATGAAAACAAAAACACACGGAAGGAAACATTTACCACACCAGAGGTGGTATTTTTTTTCTTCCCCAAAATTCTTGTGGTTTTTTTTTTGGAGATTTTCCGTGCTCTTAAAACGAAAATCATCACGGGGTGCAAAGGTGCATTAGCAAGTCATCACTCCACGCAGGAGCAGGTACCACAGGGCTCACAGGCACAGTCACAGGCTTTGAACTCCACTCAGTCTACCCACACAATTAGGCAGAATCCCAGGAAAACAGGATTTCGCTGGAATACCTCTGCAGAAGGCAAACTGAACACCAAGGTGACATTGAGAGGAAAGGGAAGAAAGTCTCAAGATAAAGCAAACAGGCCCAGACAGCTTTTAACACATCAAACTGTCCCCAGGAGTTGTTCCTTTTGCCCTGGTGCATGGGAGGTTTGGAGCAGAGGCTGCGTTTGTGTTCTGGGCTCATCCTGGCTCAGGAGGAAGCACAGAGCTAGGGCTCAAGTCTTAGCAGGAGAAAAGAGGATGAATGGTAACTAGAGATTTTTATGAAAAACTGAGATATTTCTGCATAGGTGAAGGATTTCAGCATTATTTAAAACTCTGGTGGCCAAACTGCCCCAGCAAAGGCAGCCCCACACAGCTGCAGTCAGACTGCAGGGACTGTGTGGGCTCTAACAAGGGACTTGCTCTGCTAAACCCACAGGACCTTCTACCACCATAATAGAGTAACAGAAGAAAACACCAGCTTTGGCTCTGCAGCTGCCAGCTCTGCCACCTCCTCCTCACCCAGGACTGCACAAAGAGTAAACTTATATAATTTTAACAAGAGACCTCCCTGAACCTCCCACAAAGTCCAACCAACTGCTTTCGTGCCCATGCTATTTAATAAAAGGAGTGAAAGTTTAACTTCTAATTGACTCTCAGTTCTTCCAGTACTCCACCAGCTCTCAGTGGTGTAGCTGGGAAGGAGGGCCCTGCCCAGGTAACAGCAATTTTCAGAAATCACCTCTTTTTGCACATTCACTGCAGCTGCATTCCCAGCCCTAACATTTTGTCCTGGCCCAGCAGGAAAAAAAAGACATTGCACCACCACAGGCTTTGGGACACCAGAAACTGAGAAACATCAGCTGTAACTCCAGCCTGGCCAAACTCCTCACAGCTCAGTCCTGCCCAGGCTCTGCCTTCCCCCAGCCCCGAGGGAGAAGCTCATCCAAACCACCATCAGTGACACCACACAGCCCACAGCAGGCAGACACCCACCTCAGCCCTGCCTCCTCCACAGGCCATAAAAGTCCCAGCACATTTCTCCAGGGAAAACAGTAACCTGGAAAGTTGTCCTCCTGAAGACAGGCTGAGCCCTGAGCTCCTCCCAGAGCAGTCCAGATACCCCAAAATGCCCACAGCTGTGAGGAACGGGGAGCAGCTGTGTCCCACACCCCCTGCTCCAATTCCCCTGGATTGACTGGTCCCAGCTCCTCATTCCCAAGCACAAACATAGGCCAGGTGGGGAATGGACTGGGAGCAGTCCTGGGGAGTGGTGGTGGGTGAGAAGCTCAGGGTGCCCCAGCCACGTGCTCTCACAGCCCAAAAAGCCAAACTGTGACCTGGGTTCATCCTCACAGGGTGAGCAGCAGCTGAGGGGGGGATTCTGTCCCTCTACTCTGCTCTGGTGAGATCCCACCTTGAGTGGGATCACATCCAGCTCTGGGGTCCCTGCACAGGAAGGACATGGACCTGCTGGAGTGAGCCCAGGGAAGGCCACCAAGATGATCAGAGGAGCAGCTCTGCTCTGGAGCCAGGCTGGGAGAGCTGGGGGGGTTCACCTGGAGAAAAGAAGGCTCCAGGGAGACCTGAGAGCCCCTTCCAGTGCCTAAAGGGGCTCCAAGAAAGCTGGGGAGGGAGTTTGGACAAGAGCCTGGAGTGACAGGAGAAGGGAACACAGCTTCCCACTGCCACAGGGCAGGGTTAGACGGGATATTGGGAAGAAATTCTGCCCTGGGAGGGTGGGGAGGCCCTGGCACAGGCTGCCCAGAGAAGCTGTGGCTGCCCATCCCTGGAAGTGTCCAAGGCCAGGTTGGATGGAACTTGGAGCAACCTGGGCTAGTGGAAGGTGTCCCTGCCCATGGCAGGGAGTTGGAACGAGATGGTCTTTAGGTCCCTTCCAACCCAAACCACTCCATTAATTCTATTATTCTTCACTCTTAACTGTTGGCTGCAGACTTTTGTTCCCACATCCCATAAAAGAGGCCCTGGCCAGCACCTATCACAGCCCAGCTCACAGACATGGAGGGAACACAACAGGCAGAAGAACATCCAGCTTGCAAGACCTCAGGTCAGGATCCAGAACATGCACTTTGGGGCTACCAACAGAGTACAGCAAAAGCCCAACTGCTGCATGACCTGCGTGGAAGGGGAGCCCACGCCAAGGGGAATGAATGGAGAGGGAGAGGATTCCTCCACCTGTGTGCCAAAGGCAGGAATTCCCCCTGGGAGCTCACCTGCAGCCCCAGCAGGGCAGTCACACTGTGCTGTGCCCTGTCTGGCCCTGAACCCTGCAGGGTGCCCCAAAGCAGCACCCCCAGCCCTGCACTGACACATGCACACACAAGCAGATTAAAGGTCTGATCCCTTCCAGTAGCATAATATTATATTTTAAAAACCGGATTATGGAAGGGGGGCTTGAGGAAGATACAGATCTCCTGAAAGGTCAAAGAGGAGACAGATAGTCTTCTCTAGGGCTGCAGGTCGCCATGGCAACGCTCAGTTTGCATGGGGTCCAGTAATTAAATGGTTT